TATATATACATACATGCTTCTAAAAGGTTGATATAAAGCTTTTGGAATTCATCTTAAATATTTATATAATTCTTGTAACAGGATTATAACTACTATGCGTATATTACGAGCTATATAGCAGGATTATACTAACTGTGCGCTATTACGAGCGTGAACACATCTTTACGAGATTGTATTACTAGACTGTGGGATAACACCTGCAAGCTTCATCCTCTCGTTTGCAGTATTTGTTTCGCAATACGTAGTTAAAATAATTTATGGTTTTATCGCCTACATGTATAACTGTGAAGCGCGAAGCCTGAATTTTCCTTCAACGTTAGATGTACCATGATCGCGTAGAAGATGAATCAGAAGATTTTTAATGTCGTGTTCGTTATACATTCCTGTTAAGCAGGTATGTTCGGTTATTTCGCATTTCTCACACGCAAATACTCGGAAATTGTAACATTCGATGCTTGTAATTAATTTCAGATAATTTCTTGCGGCAAGTTAGTATGATTTGTATCAATAAATTGATCAGAAGAAGGACACAGCCTGTACCACACGGGGAAGGAAATCATGCCATCTAATAGACCTCCACCATATCACTGCATGTGTCTGGTATGTGTCTGTGTGTGCGTGTGCACGCGTGTACGTACGTACATGGTGCGTGTGTGTGTGCGTACCGTGTAATGCATCCATCAGCAAGGAAAAAACAAGAAAACAGGAAATATTCAGCTACAAAATACAGGGCACGTTTATTAGATCACAACAAAATCTGTGCTTAAAATTAGTATAAAAAAAGAGTACATGTAAAATACGAGCTATCAAGTTGGTTATTCGCACATAACAGTTAAATGCAAATTGGATTAGTAGTTATATTTGCGGTTAATGCACAATAATGTAAAAATTTCAAAGAGCCATAACCTCAAATATCAAAATCATAAAAATTAATCATAAAATCAGGAGTCTATCAATAGGATAAAATCAATAGGATCTATAAAATATCAGGAGTCTATTGATAGACTCCAGATAAAATATTATCAAGTATAAAAGATTTCAACAATAACAATGGAAATTTAAAACTTCAAGCCCCTCTAGTTGTATTCCAGGGGCAGACGTGAATATAAAACGTACAAAACCTATAGCAATCAACAAACGTCTACTTTTCGTCCTCGGCTCGTAACCGCCACTTCTCACTTTCAAACTGGAATGTACAGTAACATCTGTGAACAGACGACAAAATAAGCAACTGCGCATATTAATACCCTTCCGATTCCACAGTTATTTATCATATAACATCAAGTTTTAAGACAAACGATCGTTAACTACTAGTACGAACACGATAAAAACGTATTACACACACCAGGCTACTCGTTAAACTGAGAGATCAATCGATGATGAAAGAGCAAACGTAAAGCACCAGTGTAGTTTCATTGAGCATGTGTACGCAGAAACTAGCCAACATCCCAACACAGCAGTCGCGGCCCCTGGAGGCAGCAGTGGCGCCCCCTGGAGTCAGCAGTGGCGGCCCCTGGAGTCAACATTGGCGGCCCCTGGAGTCAGCAGTGGCGGCCCCTGGAGTCAGCAGTGGCGGTCTCTGGAGTCAACAGTGGCAGCCCCTGGAGTCAACATTGGCGGCCCCTGGTCTCAGCAGCGGCATCCCTTCACGGCGATCTCCGGCGCAGCCATCATGGCGTCGACGTCGCCGCACATCTCCGCAACGATGGCGTCCGTCGGCCGCCGCCCGTCGACGTAACACAGCGGCACGCCGCGCCGCACCAGCTCCTCCTGGTGGCTGACGTAGAGCGGCCAGACGACGGCGTCGAAGTAGCCGGGCGGGCACGGCGGGTCGTAGTCGCGGCGGCGCCCCCTACGTCTCGCGCACTCGCCGTGCGGCAGCGTGAAGAAGTAGCGGCGGTGGAAGAGCCGGTTCAGCGGCTCGCTGTTGAAGACGAGGATGCCCTCGACAACGACCAGACACGCGGCTGGAGGCAACTTCTCCTCCTCCTCCTTCTGCTCTTCCCCCTCCTCCTTCTCCTCCTTCTCCTCCTTCTCCTCTTCCCCCTCCTCCTTCTCCTCCGCCTCGTCCTCTAGCTCTTCCTTCTCCTCCGCCTCGTCCTCTAGCTCTTCCTTCTCCTCCTCCTCGTCCTCTAGCTCTTTCTTCTTCTTCTTCTCCTCCTCCTCCTTCTCCTCTTCCCCCTCCTCCTTCTCCTCCGCCTCGTCCTCTAGCTCTTCCTTCTCCTCCTCCTCGTCCTCTAGCTCTTTCTTCTTCTTCTCCTCCTCCTCCCCTTCCCCTTCTTCCTGCTCCTTCCCCTCCTCCTTCTCGTCATCTAGCTCTTTCTTCTCCTCACTCGTGAGCAGCACGTCTCCGTTCCTCTCTGCCTCTTCCCCCCGCCGCCGCGCACCTCCCGTCGCCGCGGCAACCGCATCGGTCAGCGCGGCGTAGTCGACAGCGTTGGCGGCGTCGTAGTTTCGGAATCCGCCGAACTGCGGCAGTCGCTCGTATCCGGGCCAGTCCTCCGGCCGGTAGTAGTCGTCCGCGCAGACGAGCGTTGCCGTGGGATACGCTGCCAGCAGACGCCGCGCCACCGTCGTCTTGCCGCCACACGTCACGCCGCCGAGCCCGACGACCACGACGCGTCTGCGTCCGCCCATCGTCGCCGCGGCAACCACCGAGTCCGTGCGGGCCTGCAACCAAAAACTGCAGGTCACGATCGGGCGACGACGACGACGACGCGGACGCTCGCTTGTTTTTTCCGAGCGTGCGACGCGGCGAGGTCGAATTCTTGTGCGGGAAAAAGATGCGCGGACGACGCTGGGACTGTAATCTTTCACGTCTCCTCGCTGAGATAGCGATATCTTTATTGCATCGGCAGCAACTCTGACTATTGGGTTCAGCTAAACCCTACAGCGCGCCTTTAGAATCCTCTCCAGCTTGAATTGAGCGGGGGTGCAAAACGCATTTGTTTAATGTGCACAATACAGCACAGTCGCTCGTCGAATCACTACCAGTTACATTAATCATTAATTATGCTACCAAGAAATTTTGTTGGTCAATATTAATTTGAAATGGGTAAAAAACTTGCTTTTTGAGAAAAATGCTGACGGGCGTTTCTTATTGCAACGGACGGATTGTACTGCTCATCTCATTAATTGCTACAGTGAAGTTTGTTTTTCAGAATAGAAGGCATTCTACAATTTTCTTGAAGCGTTTACTTGTCCGTGTACTGTAGCCTGGAAATTGCCATTCAAATGTTGATTAATTTGTTGCCAGCTGTTCTGCAACACTCTAAAACTCTAAAACGACACTAAAAAATTGGTCCAATTTTTAAATTGTGTAGTGACTAGGCCCCTAGTGTTGTTTTTGAAGGTACGGACGCACAGGCACTTAAAGCGTTTCAATAAAATATAATGCTAACTAAATACGAAATCTATTTACTACCAAATTCTTAATTTTTCTATACTCTCTTTCACCTATTATTGCCAACAGTTTCCTGTCAAATCCTACGTGGAACAATATACGCTGCCGGCGCCATTGCTCTCGCGGCTCCACTGTTACACGCTTACACTAATATATATAGCAGGTAGGAAAGCGGGATCGCAAAATTCGCTTGACGCTCGCTGGATTTCACACTTTCACAGCACGAATACACATTCAACAGCTGCCATCTTTGTTTCTATGTCAAGAACAGTGTTTACTTGTTATAAAAAGATACTTAATTCTCTGTTCGTACCCGAGCTGTGTCACGCGAAATCACACAAAGACTGACGAAATTCTCGCGTTCGCGAACCTTGCCCGTAATGTAAATGGCAGAATCAGGGCTATATAGACTGGGACTCGCTCCCACCTCGATTACCCATCGAGTGACTAAGCTAAGCCGAGAGGTGGGAGCGAGTGCCAGTCTATGGACTATAGGCGGCGCGCAGGCGGCGCACTGCTTTCCAACTCCCGTACGAGCCTCGCCATTGGAACGTTGCAAAAACGTTGGAGCATCGCGGCGCAAGAATGAGGTCACGAAGAGCGCCGGTAGGTTTCCTGATTCTGACAGCCATTTACATTACGGGGCAAGGTTCGCGAACGCGAGAATTTCATCAGTCTTTGTGTGATTTCGCGTGACACAGCTCGGTTACGAACAGAGACAGTATGTTTTTATAACAAGTGAACTGCTCTTGACATAGAAACAAAGATGGCAGCTGTTGGATGCATGTATTCGTGCTGTGAAAGTATGGAATTCAGCGAGCGTCGAGCGAATTTTGCGATCCCGCTTTCCTACCTGCTATATATATTACTATTACTATTAGTGTAAGCGTGCAACAGTGCAGCCGCGAGAGCAATGTCGCCGGCAGCGGATATAGTTGCACGTAAGATTTGGACGGAATTGACAGGAAACTGTCGGCAATAATAGGTGAAAGAGAGTATAGAAACATTAAGAATTTGGTAGTAAATAGATTTCGTATTTATAGTTAGCATTATATTTTATTGAAACGCTTCAAGTGCCTGTGACTGTGTTAGTGTGTACGCACGTGCCGTGTAAAATAATGAATTACGGTATCTATATATTTAAAATTAACCCACGATTATAATTGTGAATTGCAAATTTTATGAATGGCTAACTATTGTGTTACCGTCTTTTGGAGTAAATGATGATCGCGACGATAGCAGCTAGTTATTGTTTCGCAGTGGCTATGGGTACGGTAGCCGTCGGTCGTTGAAGCCCCTTTTTGGCGTTAGGGTTAGGGTTAGGGTTAGGATTAGGGTTAGGGTTAGGTTTAGGGTTATGGTTAGGGTTAGGTTTAGGGTTATGGTTAGGGTTAGGTTTAGGGTTAGGGTTAGGGTTCTAGCTCATCTAAACTCTCAAATCGTGAATTTATTTCCCAAGGCGTTCTTTCGAAATCTGGCGCGACCGCCGCCATCTTTGTCTCGTTAAGTATGAAAGCGAATGGACACCCGTACCCGTAGCCTCGAGACATTAAGATACGGCTACCGTACCCGTAGGCGTAGGCGTAGCCACTGCCTTATTGTTTAGTTCTCCCGGTGTGGCCGGTTCAACTTCAAGGATAGAGAACATGGGGCCCATTGAGACCTATGTCATTTTCGTAAATGTGGGGGTAGCCCCTTTAAAATCGGCCCTTGAGCCGTGTGGCCCTTGAGCCGTGTGGCCCTTTACTCAGTTGAGTTACTGACTGGGGACTGATTCAGTGAATAACCCAAACTGATTCAGTGAGTGATTGACTGACTCAGTGACTGTTGTTAGTGACAGTGTTACTGGCTGCCTGGAACACCAACCCGAGAATATGAGAGGTTGAACCAGAGTGTGACGACTATATTTAGGAAACTCACTTACCTCAAACGATAAATCTCAACGTAGGCCTAATTATTCTAACTTCTTTGAAAAAGCTAGATTACGAAAATCTCTTTTCGTCGTTGTTAACTTGTTGTATGTTTCCGTTAGATGGCGTTGGCAATATGGTCACGTGATCCACGACATAAACACATTCGTTTTGGTTTTGAGCGAAAATTTTGAAACTCTGGTTTTTCAATTTATACGTTTTACACCTAAATATTGTCAAATAGAGACGCATTTAGATCTGTGATTTTGAAAATGGGCACTATGGTAGGTATTAGACGTAGTTTCCCGTATTACTAAAATGCAGAATCGTGCGTAAACTAAAAACTAACTGACCAAAGTGGCAGTCAATATCGTGATCATGATTCGTGTGCATAGATCTAGTAGTAGTAGTACTATAGCCCGCGTACAGTTAGCCTGCGGCAACTCCAACTGTACGCGGGCTATAGTACTAGAGCTATCGTATACTATGCAGTGATTGGTTGATGCAGTCGTTGTTATAACCATCAGTATAACATAGAAAAATTATGATGACAAGTAATACTACTACCATATATTAATTACCTAAGTACCACGAGTACCAGGTACCTGATCACGTTACCAGGGACAGACAACCGAGACATCGATGCGTTGCGGACAAACTTGCTGCATAGGCATAGCATCGCATAACATACTATTCATATTATTATTGTATCCCCCGCGACGAAGTCGGCGGGGATACTATGGTTTCATGTCTGTACAGCCGCTCAGTCCGCCGCAGAGATTTTTCCTTCCGCTCTATAACTCGACCCCTGATTGACCTAGCGTGACCAAACTTGGTCTACTTACACAACCTGGGGAGAAGGTGGCCAGCGTACCAAAACTAGGTCACTTCGACCTTTACCTTGACCTTGATCATATTTCTCTTCCGCTCTATAACTCGGCCCCTAATTGACCTAGCGCTACAAAACCAGGTCACTACGACCTTTATTTGACCTTTACCTTGACCTTGATCATATTTCCCTTCCGCTCTATAACTCGGCCCCTAATTGACCTAGCGCTACAAAACCAGGTCACTACGACCTTTATTTGACCTTTACCTTGACCTTGATCATATTTCCCTTCCGCTCTATAACTCGGCCCCTAATTGACCTAGCGCTACCAAACTTGGTATACTTACATATCTTGGGGAGAAGGTGCACAGCGTACCAAAACCGGGTCACTGCGATCTTTACCTTGACCTTGATCATATTTCCTTTCCGCTCTATAACTCGGCCCCTAATTGACCTAGCGCTACAAAACCAGGTCACTACGACCTTTATTTGACCTTTACCTTGACCTTGATCATATTTCCCTTTCGCTCTATAGCTCGGCCCCTAATTGATCTAGCGCTACCAAACTTGGTATACTTACAAATCTTGGGGAGAAGATGGGGGATACATGTAGTTGGCGACAACTGCCCTTTCTAGTTTATAACTTACATAGTATATCGTATAACATCGTATAGCGTAGCATTTCCATTGGCTAAATCAGTGTTTCTATACCTGGTAATGTAGGGACGTAAGGGGGTAGGGGCGTTGTTTGAAAAACCCGTCCGTCTGTCACGTAGCACCAAATGTAGGGACGTAGCTTGTATGTTATAATTGAGCGTATAAATAATCAAGAAGAAGTATAATTTTGTGTTCAACTAAAGAAATATATTGTTTACAAACAACCTGTCAGCGTCACGTCTCGTACTGTCCCGTTCCAACCGTTCCCCTCATTTCACAATCACCCTAGAACCCGCTTATCCAACTCCCTGTAACATCAATGCCGCCGCCCAATATGCGCGACGTTCTGTCTAGCTAGACTATGGCTAAAACAACTACCAGTCTAGCTCCACGCACTAATCCATGTGACACGTGCAAAAGACATGTTACAGTAACATTCTAGCCAAGAAATAAAATACACAACAGGCATAATAAACAACCACACTCGTCGTCCTTCTAATGTTTTCGCACGCCCACGTAATGTGTCTTTAGTTGTTTCTCACATGAGAAAAACCATTAAATTATTACTATTTGCTAGATTACGAGACATTTCAAAAACATTTTTAATTTCACAGAATATGTAGGCTACTGCTGTAATTCACCATTGGTATCGATTCAATTTTGAATTAAATCTTTATTGAAATTGTATGTGTCCATTGAATAAATTGCTTTAATACAGGAGGATCCCACACTAGAGAGGCATTTTAAAGGCCACAAGGATGCCATCACAAGCGTGGATTTCAATCCCAACATGAAGCAATTGGGTAGGATATAAGATATAACAGTTATAAGATATAACAGATATAAGATATAACAGATATAGGATATAACAGATATAAGATATAAGATATAACAGTTTTATTTATCGCTTTCAATATTAGTAAGTACAAGAATTTTAACAAAGCGAATAATAAACAATACAGAGAAGGGATGACGAAAAGCCCATACGGTCGTCTAGTCAGCCATCCAAAGGTAGTGGGTAGGTAAAGATGATTATTTTGTTGGCATGTATGCTTCTTTACGTATCAGTAATTCATTGTAAGCTAGTAGCAATGAAGTGATAGCTAGTAAAGCAATGAAGTTACTATGTGTTATTTTGTGCATGAAGAAATAACGTGTGTAGATGCTTCGTTCGTCTTTGCCTAAACGTTTTTGCCGGTAACGTGCGCGTTTTTTTGCAGCGTCCGGTTCGTTGGACAACTGTGTTATGGTGTGGAACTTCAAGCCACAGATGAGAGCATACAGATTCGTTGGCCACACGGTAATGTTTGAGTGACTGAAATGTTTAGGTATTCACATAAAGAGACATTACGTAAAGAAAATTATTTATATAAGTTACAGAAAGAAGTCTGTAGTGAGCTATTGATGTATAGTCATTGTATTGCCTATAACTCAGACTCTCACAGTATTTTAATCATTACAGGAAAACTGCAGGCTAGTCGCATTTGTGAAAAAAATGCCATGTTTAAAGAGGAAGTGCTGTCATAGTTGCTCTTACCATCGTTGAAATTACAATGCACAACTCATTTAAATAATGTGTTTCGTGCATGGGTCTGTGGGTGAATGCCTGTGTGAATGCGCGTGTGTGCGCGGGCATAAGTGAGTGTATGTGTATGTACATGCAGGGTTCTGCCCAGGATTTTTTAGTGCCGGTCGCATCCAGTTGCGACTTTGCAAGTGCTGTAGGCGCGGGGCTAATCTAGGGGGGTCCGGGGGCATGCCCCCCCTGAAAATTTTTGATTTTTGATAGTCTGAAACTCAATTTCCTGCATTCTGAGCAATAAAAAGCCCATATATCAGACTTTTTTTTAATTTTTTTTAATTAGTGCCGGGCGGAGATATATAGTGCCGGGCGGCAACCGCGAGTGCCGGGCACACCCGCCTACCGCCGCCCACCGGGGGCAGAACCCTGTACATGCGTGCGCCTGTGTGTGTATACGTGCATGCATGCATGTGCATACGTGCGTGAATGCGTTACATACACTGGTAGTAATGTGCGTGAGTCGGCCATTGGAGCTTTGCGCGTTATTCACAGTTGTATCCGTAATGCGTGCGTGTGTTCTCTGCAGGACGCCATCACGTGTGTGCAGTACTCTCCGTCCGGACAGCTCCTTGCCTCTGCGTCGCGAGACAAGACCGTGCGCGTGTGGATACCCAGTGTGTGAGTAGTCGGTCGCTCCAGGCCATGGTACACATCAGAACGAATGCGTGATTGTGGAATCACCACCATGCTGTCTGTATTCCGTGCAGCTGTTGCGACAGTTAGGCTGATAGGGTCTTTGTCTCCCTGGGTACTGCCGGAACGTACCCTGGTAACTATCTGATATGGTTAGGGTTAGGGAGTAGGCGTAGGCGACTCCCGAAACTTGTTAGTGGAGTAGGCGAGGTACGGTCCGGCATATTAGATAGTACCAGGGTACGTTCCGGTATACCGGACCATACCCAGGGTACGTTCCGGCAGTACCCTGGGGGACATAGACCCTGGCAGCGACAGTTAGTTTAGTTATACGAAATTATTAGTGTTGTACGAAAATGTAATGTGTACCATATCGGTAAGGCCATATTGGCAAGTTAGTGTCACACCATATATCGTATCGTATTATATTGTATCATATTTATATATATCATATCATATATAATTATTGTGTTTTTGTAATTATTGTTGTGATGTTTTCTACTTGGGTGGGGGGGGTACTTAGAATGCTGTAGCAGGAGTAATTTTGAAGCAAAAATATTTGAGGATTACCAGCATTATGTGCCTAATGCCGCCCCAGTGTTTACATTGGCTGATCGCGTCCCGGTGTTTATGTAGGAAGGGGGAATCGACGTCCTTTAAGGCTCACACTGCAACCGTGAGGAGTGTTGATTTTAGCAGCGATGGACAGAACATAGCAACAGCATCCGACGACAAATGTATAAAGGTCAGTCTTTAACACTCAATAGAAGTTTCTTGGGATATAAGCGTGTATGTGGATACGTAACAAAGGCATTTAGAAGTTCTAACATGTACAGTACAAATACCTCTGTACTACTGTACTGTGTCACCTATGTCATTATTCGATCTAATCGTCTATTTCGTCACAATGAGGCTTAGTGCTATATCACATGTCAGGCTCACCTGCATGTAATATGTAGCGTGAGTTGCATGCATCCATCCACCTAGTATGTGCTTTGCAGGCACACACACACACATGCAAACACCAGAGATAAATGCGCACACACACATGCACGTGCACACACGCACGCACACACGAGCACACACGCACACACACACACACACACACACACACACACATGCATGCAAACACCAGACATAAATGCGCACACACACACACACACACACACACACACAACACACACACGCATGCAAACACCAGACATAAATGCGCACACACACACACACACACACACACACACACACACACACACACACTCCCAGTTCTGTGTTCATATTCATGGCTTATAGTTGGTTACATCGTTGTTTTCACGCGTGAACGACGAACGACACTTCAGGTGTGGATCCTTCATCGACAGAAGTTTCTGTATTCTCTCAGCGGTCACCAGAACTGGGTCCGATCCGCCAAGTAGGTGTCAAAATATGACAGGTTTAGACGTGTTACTTCACTAAATGTGCAGGAAACCGTCTCTGTATTCTCTCAGATGCTATAAATTTTAATTATCTTTACACCGGCACACCTAGGTTAAAGCTGTGAACGTTCTGGTTCTTTAAGCGGGGTAGGGGTTCCCTGCCATGTGAAATTCGTAAAGAAAATCTGTAGGCTGGTGAGATTGCGCGGTAAAGATTGCAAAGGGATCACTTCTCTACCAAATGTTCCATCCTCGAAATCTCTGAGCACATTGCTGGTAGTAAAATCGGTTGAGGGTAGCTTTTGTGATTGATGAAACACATTTCATGAGTTATTGTTGATTATAATGTATTATTTATATATTAATGCCTGTTGTTGGGGGCACTATGCTCTCATAATGTTGCTGAGGGAAGGTATAGGTCCCGAGCGGCAGCGAGGGCACTATTCCTTGCCAAAGCAACACTATGACAGCATAGTGCCCCCAACAGCAGGCATTAATGTTTTTAGTGCATCACATGACTATGCAATCTACTTTTCATGCTTATATACCTTCTTTATACTCCCTAATTTGCCGGTGCATTCGATGTAACAAAACGCTCGACACAAATACAATCGCCATTAATTCGAAACTCTTGCGTGGCGCCCAGACGCAGGAGATTCGTGACGTGAACACAATGCGTTATAATAACAATCTGTCGCGCAAGCAATAGTGACCGCTCAGGCGGGCACTATTGCTTCATAGTGCCTGCTGCGTTATCCAATGGAATTTCAACGATTTATCACGTGATGCACTAATATTTATTATTATTTATTATTATTGATTATTAATTTATTATTATTGATTATTAATTTATTATTATTGATTATCACCACAGGTTCTCGCCGGACAGCCGTATGATCGTGTCAGGCAGCGACGACAAGTCGGTGAAAATATGGGACCAGACGAGCAAGCTGTGTGTGCATTCGTTCAGCGACCTGGGCGGGTAAGTATCCGCCGCCTCCTCCTCCAGGTGTCACCACTGTGTCATCTATGTTCCCCTGCATCTAGACAGCGACTCGGGCGAGCTTTTCTCGATCGCGCGCATTCCAGAATGTTAATTACTGACGTGTGGCGTACACGCAGCAATGCTAATTAACCGGGATCTTTGCATGCAAACCTGTTCTTAATTAGCATACCCCTATAGTAATTACATGTGTACCACCCTAAAAATCAATTAATAATACTCGTTAGCACTTGCCGTTAGAAGTTAATTAGCGTGCGCTGGTGGTGTGCACGTACAGCTGCATGTTTGAGAGGTCCCTGGTCGCTGCACTGAATATTTAATGGAAATGCCGGTGTAAATATTTATTGTATTGATTATTCATCGGAACGTTACTCATGTTTTTCCTGTCCTACTAGCAGACTGACGGGTTGCTTTTTTCGCGGGATATTTTTTCGAGTAATATGACTCGTTAACGTCACGTCGTTAGCGCGTTATCGGCACGAGCCATTGTTTTACGTTTGCAGCATCGTCAACCAGGTGGCATTCCATCCGAGCGGGACGTGCGTTGCCGCGGCGACGTCAGACTGCTGCGTCAGGGTGTGGGACGTGCGCATGAACAAACTTTTGCAGAAGTACCAAGGTTCGAACAACGGCTTACATTTTCGTCTCGCGTTGGACCAACCCCAGTACTGTATACGCCATATTTTTCGCGTACAGATGTTTTTGCGAATTCAGACTCGACGGACAATTTCGCGAGTGGTTAATTTCGCGGTCGGTGAATTATGAATTATTCGGTATGAATTATTCGCGTGTTGTTATTTTCGCGGTCGGGGACGCGTTCGCGAAATTCGCAAAAATTAAACCACTGCGAAATATACAGCGTATACAGTACATTATTTTGTATGTTGTAGCATGCAGTAACTGTGTTATTGTGTATTTTAGCCTACAGTTGCTACATTATTGTATATTGTAGCGCACAGTGGTGGCGTAACGAGTCTATCCTTCCATCCGTCCGGTAACTACATGATTACATCGTCCAACGACTCGACGCTCAAGGTGCTTGACCTTCTTGAAGGTCGTCTGTTCTACACACTACACGGTCACCAGGTGCGTGTCTCGATTCCGTGCTAATTCACAGCCGAAATGTGTGCTGTAGAGTTAACATAGATGTGATGCGGTAAGCTGAATGCATCCTGTAAATAATATACACATAATATAAATGTATGCTGTAGACTTAATATAGGCCCTATAAGTAAACTAATTGTGTCCTGTAGATTTTTATAGGCACTTTAGGCAAGTTAAGCTAGCAGCACACTTCACCATTTTCGTTGCTCGTATAGGCAATTTTCGTGGTCGCCAATTTTTGTGGCCGTTGCCGCGTCACAGCACACTTCACCACAAGTTGCCACCACGAGCAATTTTCGTGGTGAGAAATCAAACCGGTTTGATTCTCGGCAACTCGTGGTGTGGTCACCACTAAATTTCCGTGGTGAGTGGTCGTTGCCGGCCCCAGCACACTTGGCCATTTTTGTGGCGACCAGGAAAAATTGCCTGTACGAGCAACGAAAATGGTGAAGTGTGCTGACCGCTTTAGATGTGCCCTATAGACATTATTTAACATTTTCTCCGTGTAGTTCACACTACCAAACCAATCTGGACTTGGAAGCTTGTGGGAAGTGATAGAATTTGCACGATTTTCATTTTCGCGTAGATGACACGGAAGGAGATCGATTACCTTAGGGATGCGTATGTGGCAGCTTTATTCTCGGTGATGAAAAAAAATCGGGGGAGTCTCACCATCTGAGCGAAGCGAGGATGCTGCAGGCGCGAAGCACCGTAGGGGGGAGAGCCTTGCCTTAAAATAGAGGAAATTTAGTCTGAAATGCCAAAAAGACAGGAATCTGATATGATTTTATATTCTTATAAACACTGTTATCAGTTATACAAGGTGTATAATATTATATATAATTGGGCCGCCCTCATGCCGTCTCTATCAAATTTCATCCGTCTCATCCAAGAATAGGCCTCTAAAAGACGAGTAGACGGGTCTCTGGCCAACACACTGTCGGTGAAGATCCGGGAGTATTAATCTGCGTGCGTGTTCATGGTTGCAGGGTCCCGTCACGTGTACGGCGTTCTCACGACAAGGAAACTACTTTGCGTCCGGCGGCTCAAACGATCAGGTGTGTTTGCGGAAATTTTCTAGACATCCGAGCTGTAAGGCTAACCCTGCATAATCTCATACTGTGCACAAATACCATGACTGTGAGTGTGGCCATAATAAAAATATTGCTTGTTTGCCCTCACTCGACCGACCCGCCAAATAGGGGCCGACTCAAAAAATGTTATTGATCCTTCCCATTCTGTTTTTTTGTTTACAAATTGTATCAATGTACATTATATAAATCTGTAGGCAATACATTATATGTACCAAGCAAAACAAACATTCAACATAAAAGGTATCTCCACACAAGCACGCCCGAGCATGTAAACACTATGCTGAATTTGTAAAAAGACCTCCCTCAAAAAGAAAGAAAAAAAGCCTACCTTACCTACCCAAACTTTTCAGCGTGGGTCGGGTGAGGGCAAACTAAGATTTTTTTAATTGTGGCCTGAGGAAACACGCACAGCTGTGTTAGTGCGCATGTATGGTACTCTCCCTCCGAGTGCCTCCCAGGTTACTAATGTTGTTGTTAGCCGTGTGAATTTTTTCCGTTCTTCTTAATCTATCTTTGTTGCAATTTTGTTGTTTAAAATTTTCGGAGGTGTCCGGCGACGGGCGAATTCCTCGCCCGTGTCGCGATCGACTTTTTCGTCGTAATTTAGCGGTTCCGCGTCGTCGAATTTCGTCGACGTGCGTCTACGACGCGGCGGATTGCACCGTAACCAGAGACTCCACAGTTAGCTTTGCTACTCGATTGCCGAATCGTTCTAACCAGCATCTGTATTTAAATAGCGGTACTGTTGCATCAGCACGATCAGTTACATTATTAATCAGTGACTCTGTCATTACCTCGGCTACTAAATAAATCTGTTCAGTTTCTCTAACCGGTATCGGGTGTTTAAAGAGTAGTGCTGTTGCATAATCGTTCGTTTAGACGATTAATTGGTTCGATTAGACGATCGAGTCAATATTTACATGGAGAAAGACGCGAGTGTGTTAAATCGGTCTGCGTTCAGGTGATGGTGTGGAAGACAAACTTCGACTCGGTGGATTACTCGGAGGTTCTGAGCTCTCACCGTCGCAAATCGCGTTCACACGTCCGTCCCGCGTCGCTACCCTGCGACCAAGCCGCGTCGCCGCCGCCGCCGCCCGTCACCATGGCAACCACCGACGCAGCTACGCAGGTACGTGTGTGCCCAAGGCGCCCCTACGCCACAGCAGTATAGTTAATGTTAAGTCCAGTTTCGTTTCTGACAATGGTCTACGAGAAAGGATCAATGTTAAGACAAATTTTGTTTCTGATAACGGTCTACGAGAAAAGATCAACGTTAAGTATAATGTGATAATTAAGACTGTAATTAAGACCAAATTAGAAAGACTAATTAATAAGACTACTTTCGTTAATCGCGCCGCTCGCTCGCTTGCAGCGGGACACGACGCAGGATCACGCGGACGACGACGACGGGGGGAGCCAGCAGAACATGTCGCCGCAGCTCGAGAACACGCTCTCACAGGTCGTGCGACAACTAGACATCCTGACGCAGGTGCGAAGACGCGCGGCGAAAATCTCCGTCCGTGATATCTCGCGGCGAAAGTCTCCGTCCGCAATATCTCGCGGCGAAAATCTCCGTCCGCGATATCTCGCGGCGAAAATCTCCGTCCGCGATATCTCGCGGCGAAAATCTCCCTCCGCGATATCTCGCGGCGAAAATCTCCGTCCGCGATATCTCGCGGCAAAAATCTCCGTCCGCGATATCTCGCGGCAAAAATCTCCGTCCGTGATATCTCGCGGCGAAAATCTCCGTCCGCGATATCTCTCGTGGTGAAAATCTCTGTCTGTGAGCGTACGGTGTCAAGGGACTTGCTCATGGGGGGGGTCTACCCTGGGCCTGGTAACGAATGTCGGGTCCGACGTGCCTTCAAAGCTGATTTCCGATAGACGTCCCGTGAATCGTCCGACGCGCTTTAATTTCCAGCTGTTTGCTTTCGATTATGATTTATTCAGAACACAGTCACGGTGTGTTTTCACAGCTAGATGTACTCGTGCGTCGCCTAACTGTCTGGTTGCATTTACCTGGGTATTGGGGCCCTGTACGACTCACTTGAAATCGGTACAACGCTCTCCCGGGCCCTCCCCCATCCGTCCGTAAACGACATACCTTCTGAAATCGCTGGGGGGAGTACCTAGCTCCACCCGTGGAAGAGATCACCCTCCTCTCCCACTGTGTGTCTGCCTATATATCCGCCCTCACTTCTCTCAACCCTCCTCTCTTCCACATGTGTGTCTCCTATATATACCCTGCACTTCTCTCACGCGCTCTCTCTCCACTGTGTGTTGCTCCTATAATATACCTCACTCTACCTCACCCTCCTCTATCCACTGTTGTCCCTATATATTACCCTCACTTCTCCTCACCCCCTCTCTGCCACTTGGCGTGTCTCCTATATATATCCCCTCACTTCTCACGCCCCGTCTCATCCTCCACTGTATGTCTCCTATATATACCCTCACATTCTCTCACGCCTCTCTCTCCACTGTGTGTCCGTATATATACCCCTCACTTCTCTCACCATCCTCTCAATCCACTGTATGTATGCCTAATATAACCCTCACATTCTCTCACCCCCTCCTCTCTCCAGCTGAATGTCTCCTATATATACCCTCACGTTTCACGCCCCTTCCCTCTACCAACTGTGTGTCTCCTATAATATAACCCCTTTCCCTTCTCTCGCCCTCCTACTCATCCACTGCGTGTCTCCTATATATAACCTCACTTCTCTCACCCTCCTCTCTCCACTGTATGTCTCCCTTAAATATTATACGACCTCACTTCTCCTCACCCTCCTCTCTCACACTTGTGTGTCTCCTATATAATACCCCTCACTTCTCTCACCCTCCTCTCTCACACTGTGGTGTCTCCTAATATAATACCCTCACTTCTCCTCGCCCGTCCCTCTCTCACTGGTGTCTCCATATATATACCCCTCACTTACTCTCACCCTACGCTTCTCCACTGCGTGTCTCCTATATATCACCCCTCCACTTCTCATCGCCCTCCTCTTCTCCACTGCGGTGTCTCCCTAATATAATACCCCTCACTTCTCAATGCACCCTCACTCTCTCCACTGTGTGTCTCCTAATAATATACCCCTCACTTCTCTCACTCCTCCTCTCTCCACATGTGTGTCCGCTATATATACCCCCTCACTTCTCTCACCTCCTCTCTCCCAGCTGGCGTATCTGCCTATAATACCCTACACTTCTCTCACCCTCCCTCTCTCCACTGCGTGTCTGCCTAATTATATACCCCTCACTTCTCATCTACCCTCTCTCTCCACATGTGTGTCTGCCTATATATACCCCTCACTTCTCTCAACACTCACTCATCTCCACTGCGGTACTCCTTGATAATATACCCCTACTTCTCTTACACCCTCCCCTACTCATCCCACGCGTGTCTCCTATATATACCATACCCCTCAACTTCTCAACAACCCTCCATCTCCCACTGTGTGTCTGCCTATATATACCCCTGCACTTCTCTCACGGCCATCCTCTATCCACTGTGTGTCCTTCCTATAATATACCCCTCCCTTCTCTCACCCTCCTCTCTCCACTGCGTATCTCCCTATATATACCAGCTCCATTCTCTCGCCTCCTCTCTGCCACATGTGTGTCTCCTATACATACCCTCACTTCTCTCACCCTCCTTCTCTGCCACTGTAGTTGTCTCCTATATATACCACCTCAACTTCTCTACACACCCTCCTCTGCCCACTGTGGTGTCTCCTAATATATTATCCCCTCACTTCTCTCAAACTCTCCTCTCTCCAGCTGTGTCTCCCTATATATACCCCTCACTTCTCTCACCCTCCTATCTCCACACTGCCCCTCTATCCTTTCATTTCTTCACCCCGACAACAGTATCGCGTGCGATCACATTTCTGGATGTATATAATCAGATATAAATGTATATAATTTGCAAATCTGTGTTGTAATAGCTTGCGCACGTATACAAGTGGTTGGTATTACTGTACATTACTTACTCGATCAGCCAACTGTTTTTCGGTACGCGTTGGAATGTATACGCGCAATGCAATGCATTGGGTGACATGTAGTTTCTTATATGTATATTTACACACATTTTAGTCCGTCTAGTTCCGTCAAGTGCCTTCTGTGTTGCGCTCAAGCGAGAAATACTCTTACGAATTTAGAATGTCCCGCTAGAGACAGACTGTACAGTGCGTGTGTAGATACTAGAAATCGTAACGTCAGGAAGCTCAGTGGAACTGCTACGTTGTCGGGAAAACCCTTGCAAGCGCCAAGTTCCTAGTCTCGGAAGGCGACCTGCGTAATGCTTCTACGTGCAGCATGCGATGTCCGCACTAGCTGCGCTGTGCGTTCTATTGTGTGAGAGGGCACTTATACGAATTGACATCTTGCGACTAGGTTAAGGTGATGTGCGCTCAAAACGTTTTGCGACTTTCTCGTATAGCCAAATTTGTTAGGGAATTATTCGCAAATCTTTCGCCTTGTTTGTCGAAAGTGTATTTAGCTCATTTATGTCGTGTGTGTATTCTGTCTCCGAGCAGTCATTCCAACATCAACGTGACGTATGGTGCAATTGTATTTTTCGCACACCACAACTTCCAACTCGTCTATATACATATATGATGAAGGCTATTATAGACACTGTACAGCTTTGCAGGGAGTTGTGGCGGGCAGGAATTGCATTGGTATCAAATGTATTTTATAGATAGTTTAAATGTGCTATTTACGCGCATCGTGTTCACTAGTTAAGAAGTTTAGATTTGTCTGCAAAATAAATTAGCAAGTGTAATCGTATATTACACAGTGTTCACGTGTATCTCATGCTGTTAAAAGCCTCTGGTGTATAAGTGTAGGAAGCATCAATGCAATAGAAGTATCAGGGTTTACATCCCTAACGTTGCGCAATAACAGGGGCGGCGCGCCGCCCGTTGGGAAAACTCACAACCCTGTTTTCAATCGTTGCGCCCCGTTTAAAAATAACCTCCGCCCCGAATTAAATTCCACGCACAATAAAAGTTTGCCAGCGGGAATGACGTCAAAGAATTCCCATTCGACAAGGACACCGGCATGATGTTATTTTTACCGTCCACGCATCACGCAGACCAAACACACAGTACAAACACCAACGCTGTCCCACACCCCAACAATACTGATACACGCGACATCGGGCTATCTTATATATAACAAGACCCCACACATACAAGTGTATGGTGTGGTGACGATTTTAACCATCAAATTAGTGTACGGTAAAAAACACAGCACCCCCGGACCCCCCTAAGTTCCCCCTCCCTCCCCGCTGTTTGAATTTCATACCTGGGGAGACCCCTGGTATGTAAGCAGTCC